TCCTGGTGGAAAGTACTGTATGAGAAAAAGAATAGGGTGGGAAAGTTAAGAATCTCACCATTAAAAAAGCTATTATGGTTTCATTGACACTCAAGACCCAAACCCAAAAGAAGAGAATGACTCCAAACATCTACAACCAAAACCACAAAGAAAAACAGAGCTGGGGCACAGGTGCAAATAGAGCTTCTAGAAGAGATGAAAGAAGAGTTTTTTAAAAGTTATAAATATTTTTATAATTGCAATGAGCATGTGTTTGTTTTGCATGACTTTACATATATAATGGGGATTGCTTGTCTTCTCAGTGCGTAGGGTGGAGCTGGAGGGAGGGAGAGAAGTTAGAACTCAAAGTTAAAAAAAGTGAATGTTAAAAAAATTGAAATGAGTGCTAGAGAAAAAAGTGGAAAGGAAATGAGAGTTGTGGAAGAAAGAACTAGAAAGACAGAATTAATGGCTTAGAATGACAGAGGTACAAATCCTTGCCCAAACAATGCACTCCCTGAAAATTAGAATGGACCAGATGAAAACTGTTCCTTGCACCCAACACTCCATCTCCTGACCCCAGGAGTTTTTGCTGGCTATCCTCCATGCCTCCAATACCCTCCCTTCTCAAATCCACCCGATGGCTTCCTGTTCTTCCTTCAAATCTCAGCTACAGTCCCACCTTCTGCAAGAAGTCTTTCCCAGTCCTCGTTAGTACCTCCTGAGATAACCTTCAGTTTATCCTGCATATACTTTCTTGTGTATAGTTGTTTGCAGGTTGTCTCCTCCAATACAGTGTGAGCTCCTTGAAAGCAGGTACCAGGGTTTCTTCTCCCCCCCCCTTTTTGTATCCCCAGTGTCTGGCATATACTAGGTGCTTAATAAATGCTAGTTGACTCAACTGTTTTGCTTGGGATGTAAGGTTTTTGAAAGGGCATAAAAAGATAAGAGGCATGAAAGGTAGATTAGGACCAAATTCTTCAAGATCTTGGAGTTTGGTTGAAAAATTTAAATTTTATTCTGTAGGCAAAAGGGAACCAATGGAGATGTTTCATCTTGTTTGCTTTTAGCAGGACAGAGAGGATTACAGTTTTAGAGTTGGAAGGGACTTCAGGTCCAACTTCCTTCCTTCACAGATGAGGAAATTAAAGCCTGGGTTTGACCTTAATGACTCACTCAGGGTCGCACAGATAGTGACTAAGGCAAGATTGGAATCCCATTTTTCCTGGCTCCAGTCCCAGTACTATATCCACTATACTATGCTGTCTCTCAATGATCTTCCATAACTGGGAATCAGATTGTGGTCACAGCAAGGAAAATGCTGAATGCTATCCACTAGAGACCATCAGATCTGGGCTCTAAGAAGACCATAGAGCCTAGAGGAGAAAAGGTCAGTTAGGGAATGAGTGTAGTGTGGCTTGGAAGTCAGGAGACCTCTGTTCTAGGACTAAGTTTGATTCTAACTTGCTCTTTTTGACCTCGGATAAGTCATACTCCTTCTCAGAGCCTCAGTTTCTTTCTCTTTTATTTTAATTAGTTTTATTGCACTAGATATTCGTGAAGTTCCTTCCAATGTGATGACTTTACAGTGCCTGTACCATGTCTCTTCTCTATCAAAATCCAGGGAATCCTCTAGAAATTTCAGTAGGGGAAACAGATTGGTGAGGGATCTGCATGTGACTGCCTAGATTCCAAGGTTCCCACTTTTTCTCTTCTTCACCCACAAAAGAATTCCTAACTGTGAAATCTGAGGTATGAGCACATGAGCAAAGGGAAAGACGCCTTGGGGACTGAGGTTCCCTGTTGTCCATGATGGCTGCAGGGATTGAGGGCCATGGCATCGAGACTAACACTGACTGCACCTACCCTGGTCACTGTCTTCCTGAGGCTCTGCCTGTGGTCACTGGAAACAGTGGGTGGGGAGGCTAGAACTCAGACTGGGAGCAGAGAGGCAGGCAGTGACTTCAGGGATTAACTTTGCTAAGGTGCTTCAAACAGTGCAACGAAGATGAATTCCTGAATGACAAGAACTGGCAAGTTCAAAAACCTCATCAGCTGGTGAGATGGAAGGAACATAGCTTCTCCTCTGAGAGAAGCCAGAGGCACACTCCTTCCCTTAATACTTCCAAAATCTTAGAAAATTGAGAAGAGGTTTCAATTTTAGGAGACGGCTGGAGACAGTTTTTCTTTCATATTCATTATGTACAATAAATGATGTGGCCATAAGATGGCCTGTTTTCCATGAAAATGGAAAAGGAAAATTCCAGATGTAAGAGACCAGGGAGGGGGGCATTACAAGTCAGATATTTTTCTAATTGTAATAATTTTGGAACCATATGTCATATCATACCCTGGATCAGTTCTGACTCTGGCCAGAATGTTTTGTTTTGTTTTGTTTTAAATCCTACCTAGCAGTTTTGTCTAGCAGTGAAGGATGGAAAATCATACACATACACTCTTGTGGATGTGTCTGTCTGAGAGACCTGGATGAAACCACTGAACCAGTGCGTGAATATAATGCCATAGTGGACAGATTGTACATTTCCTTGCCTCACTGATTAATAAATGAAGTGTCACCCTGGTTTACTGTAGGCTTCAATAGGGTAGCTCTAGGGTGTGCTGGAACCAGCTCGAACTGGCTCTCTGGAACCATATGTTAAATTTCCAATAGGAGCATTTGCACTTCACAAATCAGCAAATGTTACAAATCATGTCATGATTTATTGCTTTATTGATTGTTTAGATTTAAGAATGTGATGGAGAAAATGTTAGTAACGCAGATTCAAATTAAAAGGGTGTTGTTCATACATTTTTTTCAATAGCTCATTGTTAAACATTTACCAGGATACTGCTAGGTAGAACCCAAACCAACATGCATTGCTTGTTCTACTACAATGTTCTGAATGTTACATGGGATACCTGCAAGATGTCACATAAAGCCTACCTCTATATCATAGCTTTATGAAGAAGCGAGGTAAGAGATACCAGGGGGTGAATTAGGCTGGCAACAGACATGGGAATGGAAAGGAGGAGCATATAGGAGGGATACTGCAGAGAAAGAATCTACAGGACTCAATGACTAAACAAAGAGGTGGAAAATTCTAAGGTGACTCTAAGATTTCAATTATTGGATAACTGGGCAGATATGGTGGTTTCAGCTATAGAAAAGTCAGCATGATGGGCCAGGGGTGGGTGTTGGGACTGCAAAATTTAAATGGTAGTTATTCATTACCAGCGAAGAGGTCTGTGGGTGGTCATCATTAATCCTTGGAGAAGGGCTTGGACATGGACTTGGACAAGTCAATTAACATCTCTCCAGGGAGATAACTTGATACAAGGGAGAGCTTATCATTTCTGGAATCACACAACCTGAGTTTAAATCTTGGCTTTACCACTTCCTACTAGGTTGACCCATGACAAGTCATTTTATGTCTCTTGAACTCAACTGCCTCATTTGTACAAGGAGGATATTAGACTAGATGGCCTCCAAGGTACCTTCCAGGACCAAACCTATGCTCCTATAGGAGATGATGAGTTCCTTGGTGCTGGTGGGACATCAAGGTGGAGACCAAGAGGCAGCTGGAGAAGAAGGGAGTCCAATTTGAGATTCATTCAGATAGAGGTGATAATTGAAGCCATGTAAGTAAACCAGTTCTTCAAGGGAGGCAGCATAGAGAGAAAAGATAAGAGGGCTAGGGAGAGAACCTTAGGGGATGTCTGTACTGAAGAGACATCAAGGGAGAAAGAGAAGAAGCCATCAAAAGAACAAGATGATATGGAGTGTGTAAAGGTCAACAGAAAACACAAAACTTGATTTCAACATATAATCACAGACGGATAATCAGGAACAGCTTCAATCTCACCTTTCTTCCATGCTCTCCTTTCATCCTTCCCTCTCTGTCTCTCTTCATGTCTCACTGTGTCTCCTCTCTTGACTTGCTCCTTTTCCTTCCCTCCCTCCCTCTATTTGTCCTTCTGTGTGTCTCTGTCTGCCAGTCTCTGTCTTTCTTTCTGTTACACATATAAGCATACATATACACTCCAGGTCATTGACTTGGTCTTACCTGGGCAGTGGGGTTAGGAAGCCCTAAGTTATAAGCCAATGATTATATCACCAGATGTGGAAGAAACGATTGTAAGTAAATAAACTCGGTTCTCCTCCTTCCTCCCTGGGAACCTCCCTGAGCCAACAAATAAACACAGCAAATGGCAGAGAAACCACTTTTCTGTCCACCAGGGTAAACACATTAGGCTGAGCCATTGGCCCAAAGGCCCTCTGAAAGGCTCCTACCCCAGCGACCTACAGCGACAACAAAAAAAACAGGACAGAATTTGGGAGGGAGGGCACTGGTTGGGCAGAGGTTTACTCGAATCAGAGTCTAGAAAAAAGGCCCAAATTCTATGGAACAAAAAAACAGGGAGGAAATTCTCCATGTCTACAGTCAGCAGCCTCTCCAAACCCAAGTCGCAGTAGGCATTTTCAGAGTATAAATGCCTAGATGCAAATGCATGGTTCATTTAGTATTTCTGATTAGAATAAACATAACATTTTCCATGCAATCTGCCTCTAGTGCTTCTTAAATGAAGCTGTGTTTTCCCCTGGGGACATAGGCATCTGTTTGTTTTCATTTTTCGATGGTTTGCTTGTTGGACCTCATATTAAAACCACTTTAGAGCTGCAGTTTCAAAGTGGTTTCAAGTAAATATGTCGCTGCCTTGGTTTTTTTTTCCCCTCCTCCTTCAAATGAAGTTCTTCTTAGAGAAAGAAAAGATTCATCTGCGAGATGTGAAAGATTCTGAAAATAAAAAGACAGCTCTTAAGAAGAAACGGCTCTTGGCTCTTGCCAAGGGGAGGGGAAGGTCTAAGCATCAGATGCTATGACAGGTAAGTCTGTTAAATAAAAATATCTGTCAGATTGAGAATGCTCTGGGTTGGAAATTCACAACTCTCCTAAGAGTCAACAATAGCTGCCACCTCCTACAAAGTCAACCCTGCCCTTGGTTGCCAAGGGGCATGTTACCTTTGGTGGTAAGGAAGGTTTGGGTTCAAATTCACCATCTGAAGAGGAGGTGGTATCAGAAGAGGAGGAGGAGGAGGAAGAATAACACTCAGTCATTTGTGCTCTGACAGGTAAGTGCTTGGAACCTGAAATAGGAACAAAGTACCCAATCAAGCAGAAGTAATTTCTTCCCTAGATTTCATGACCCCAAACTCCCTCTCCTTCCCTGCCCACTGCACCTACTCTAAGCCTAAGCAACAGAGCTACCTAAGGGTAATCTGAAATTTGGCTTCCCATGCTAATTAAATTTCTGGCCCCTGGCCAAGGGCTTTGCACAGCTCTTGGTGTCCACATTTTAAACACACACACACACACACACACACACACACACACACACACACACGGTATTATGCAGAAATCAATTAATTCCTTAAACACCATTTATGGATCATGGGGCTTCAAACACATTCAGACATGAAATCTATTATTAAAATGCATGTCTGAAGTTAGCCATGGTACCTCAAACGATTGTGTGAGGGTCACCGCGCAGTCTAATTGAATGCAAAAAGTCCAAGCCAGCTCTTAAACAAATTACCCTTATGTGGCTCTCAGCATCTGGCACCCATTTTTAGAACATGACATCTGCTCGGTGTAAAAGAACTGGCGTCAGAATGTCTGGTCATATAAAAAAATCACAAATGTAATCAGAAGCAAATGGACTCTGCCAGCTCGGGGCTTTATCACACAGTCTCATGCAACATAAATATTTCATTAATTATGTCTAAACAAATGCCACTTCTATTTTCCCCACGTAAGAATATTATCACATCATCGGGGCAGTGATGAAAACACCAGGAAAGATTGGTGGGGACTGGGTGGGGGGAGGGGTGTGTGGGTGTGGGGAGGGCCTGGTGTATGGACATCCCAACAATGTGCTCCCATGGGGCAGTCTGGCTTTGTGGGGTGGGGCAAGACACAGAAATAGCCTGTGGCTCAAGGAACCCTTATTAAGGCAGAGTCAGTGGTAACACTCTCCTCATGCCCATTCTGATCAGGATTTGGCCCATCTCTGTCTATGACCTGAACACTCCTGGGTGCCTGGTATCTTCACATGGAAACATCTGCCTTTCCATTTAGACCTTCTGTAGGGTTAATGATTAACATCTGGATTGCGCAGCTCTGGGCTATGAAAGGTCCTGGTGGGGAGTAAGTTATTTGGCCCTGCCCAGGTGACTGATAATTTATTGCATCCTAGTTTCTCGTGTAAGCCCATATTTGAGCAGGGGTGTGTGTGTGTGTGTGTGTGTGTGTATACATGTGCGTGTGTGTGTGTGTTCAGAGGGTAATATAATGGTTAAACTCTACCATCCCCCTTCCAGGTAGGTTTCTGCTTTCCTCCCAGCTGAAAGGGAAATGAACCTTAAGAAAATTGCATGATACAGTGGGAAGTACCGGACTCTCAGTTAAGAAGACCTGAATTTGAATTCTGGCTCTGCTACCTACTACCTAGTGATTTTGGGCTAGTCATTTAACTTCACTGGTCCTTGAGTCACAGGATCCTAGAGTTATAAAGGACTTCAGAGACCATCAACTTCAATTCCCCTCCCCATTTTATAGATGAGCGAATTGCTGTGTAGAGAGGTTGTAACTTTCCCTAGGTCACACAGGTCATGGGGGTGAGGACAGATGGTTGAACCTAGTTTTTCTGACTCCAGAACTGGTTCTCTCTCACTACACCAGTTGCTCAGTTGCAAAATGAGGAGCCTGGACTAGCTGACATCCATGGGACCCAGCATGGGTTCCAGTCTTGTGCCTAACACTCACTACTTGTGTGATCTTGGGTGAATGATTCAACCTTCCTGGGCCTCAGTTTCCTGTCTGAAGGGAATTAGACCAGATGGCCTCTGAGGTCCCTTTCAATCTAGATCTAGCATCCTTCCAGCTCTAAGTCAACGATCCCACAACCCTTGAAAAGAAGAGGAGATAGCTACTCTGAACAGAACAATAATCTAAGACAATTCCAAAGGACCCATAATGAGCAATGCTATCCTCCAGAAAGAGAACTGATGAACTCTGAGAGCAGATTGAAGCCTACTTTTTTATTTTCCTTTTTCTCCTTTTTTGGTCTGTGTTTCCTTTTGCAATATGGCTAATATGGAAATTTTTTTGCATGACTTCACATGGTTAAATTGATTAATATCAAATTGCTTGCCTTCTCAAGGAGGAGAAGGGGTAGAAGAGAGGAAGTGAATTTGGAACTCAAAATTTAAAAAAAAATGAATGTTAAATTTTAAAAAATGTATTTGGGGAAATTTTAATGACATAAAAATATATTGGGAAAAAAAGAAAAGAAGAAGAGATTTGGGTCTTCAGATCTTTCAAAGTACCCTTTCATCCTTCAGAAATAGGCTGAGACTCAGGCAATGTTAGAATCGGAAGGGACCCCGCAGATTGGCCATTCTGAGTGAAGCCCGTCATTGTACAGATAAGGAAACTGAGCCCCAGGGAGGGGAAGGGACTTGCCCAAGGTCACATAGGTAATGAGAGTCAGGAGCAGGAATTGAATCCAAGTCCTTTGGCCCAGCTAATCATTAGCACAACAGAAACTTGAACCCACTATATCTGGTATTATCTAAGACCAAAACTGTCCAGTGCCTAATGAGGAATATTTAGCCCATTTCCTGGGAGAGGAGCTAAGAGATATCAGCTTCCATATGGCAGAGGTAAAACTCAGGCCCAGAATGAGATGCACCTCTCCTTACCTGAGATATGAATGCACAGGCTTTCCTTAGAATTTCTGAACCAATTTTTCCCTTTCATTCAAAGAATGAACAGCTAAAATTCTATGCTTTTTACTTTGGTTTCCTGATGACTTCAGCTTTCTGTTTTGCTTTGGCTGTGCCCTTCTCCACTCTGGACCTAAGGTTCTTTGTAACAGAAGAGAGTTAGAGGAGGCTGCCTCTAAGGACTCTTCCAGTCCTAATGTTCCATAGTCTGGCAAAGTTAGCTGGCAGGAATTCTAAATTCACCCGCTGACTTCCATGATAAATTAAAGAGGAGAAAGTCCCCTAACCAAATAATTTAAGGGAAAGGTTAAAGCTACTGCTCATTTCCAATCCTGTCCCTTCCTCCTACGATGGCAGATATCTCAAACTGAGATTCTGTATACTAAATCTAGCTTTAGGAAAAAAAAAATGGGGAGGCAAGGGGGCTGGTGTTATCATTTTATTTTGTCTTTGCAAATGTCTTGTGAAATCTTTCTTCTAGGGCAAATGGCTAAACAGACCAGGATGTATAACAGTATGTTGATGGTGGAGAGCCATGAAGGTTAAGAGTCTTGTTCAAGGTCGCACAGTGATTCAGGGGTGAAACTGAGACTTGGCTCTGAGCTTCCTGCCTCCCAGGTCAGTGGTTAATCCAATCTAACCCACTGACTTGGAGACATCTTCTTCCCTCCCAGTACAGGGACATTGTCCAAGTCACAGAACTTCTGAAGGGCAGAGCTAAGTGAGACTTCAGAGTTCCGTAGAAAGTGAAAATTAAGGGCTTTCCAAAGGGCACAGAACAAGTTAGTGGAGGGGTCAGGTCCCCCACCTCCGGGGGCTCTGTCCTCTGCCCTTGCCTTTCTCATTGTGAGCTGCTTATTTTTGGTACTGCCCTCCCTCTCTCCCCAAACTACCTGGCATTCATCGTGCATATAGTTTGCTTATACTTACGTGTTTGTATGATGTCTCCCCAGTTAGAGAGTAAGCTGGTTGAGGGCAGGGCTGAGCCCTACTTCACTTTTGTCTTTGTATCCCTAACACTTACCACAGTGCCTGGCATATAGTAAGTGCTTAATACATGCTCTTCCTTAATACTTGGCTCATCCTTGTGAATGAGGACCTGTAGAACGTAGGCCCTGAGGAGTACAAAGAGTGCTAGGCCTAGATTGAAATCAGGAGATCTAGGTTGGAGTTCCTCTCTGACCTTTATTAGCTGTGTGACCTTGAGCAAGCCATTCTTAGCACTTTTGTGGCTTACTTTTCTCATTTGAGAAATGGGCTACCTCTTTAGGCACACTAGCTACTTCACAGGGTTATTGTAAGGAAAGTATTTTGAAAACTTCAAATCACCATGCAATTGTAAGCTGTTATCCTCCTCCTCCTCCTCCTCCTCCTCCTCCTCCTCCTCCTCCTCCTCATCATCATCATCATTATGGGACCACGGAGGGAGTGGTTCAGGAATGGTCCCAGAATGAGCACTCCCTCCACCAATTCAGATGGATAATTCTTCTGTAAATTATAGAGAGTTGTCTGGGGGCACTAAGAACTAGAATGGGTCAGAGACAGGACTTGAACTCAGGTCTTCCTGACTCTAAGGCTGGTCCTCCGCCATACTGGCCCAGCCATATCAGAGCCAACTGGTTCACATGGGGATGGCGGCCCTTGGCTCAGTTTGGTCAATTAAGCCCTGGTCATCTGAGCAGCACAGATTGGTGCTGGCAGCAGAGCAGAACAAGATGTCACAGCCAAGGCCCTGATTCCTCAGCTCTCCAATTCTAACCTTTGAGCAGCTTCCTGTTCAGATTTAGACCATAACCTGCTATTTGCTCCCTTGTTTCTTTTCCCAGCGGGAATAAATTACCCCCTTCTCATCCCTCCTCTTGAAGTCCCATCAATAATTAACTGGAGTTATAAGGGCTGCTGGATAAACAGCCGGCTGCTACTGCAGCACCTGCTTCCCTCCCTGCCAGGGGCTCTCTGCTGAAGCCTGATGTCTTCTTTGAACAAAAGCAGGTTTCTTGACCTTCCATTGGCTGGGAACCAGAGCCCGCATAGCTCAGGTTATGGGGGAGGGGAGAGTGGGGGCTGCAGGCCCTGATCCTCTGGCTCCCCAAGAAGTGGGTTTGGTACAAAAGCAGCTCCACTGTGTTGTTCTCTATGGACCAGGGATGTCTGTAACAGGAACCCAGCTTTCCTTTCATTAGCTTTGAGTTCTACAGGGCTCTCTTCTCCTTTGGCTGGGTATGGTGCCCTTTGGCTAGAAGGCTGGCCCACTGGAAAGCAGGGGGCAGGGCTTGCCAGGAGGTTAGGTGATGAAGGGAGTCTGGACATAGGCCCTGTTGTTTCAGGAAAGGACCGATTACCCAGCAGGCCACCTACCT